GATGAATTGTGAAATAATGTTACAACAGAGTCTGAGCAATTGGATTTGAACGAACCAATACTGCCCAAAAGAAGGAAGGTCTCAAGGAAAGTAGATGACATGAGACAAACCGAACACAATTTTGACGATGTTAAACAATTTTACCGCCAGATGTACTATGAAATTATTGACATGGCAGTGACTATCTTGACGACAAGATTTGAGGAGGATACATTGAAACATCTTAGAAAAGTTAAGGCATTTGCGCTGGACAAAGCGGAAAATGCAAATTATGTGACATCCTTTCATAAAGAAGACTTCGATGGCGATAGACTGGCCCTTCATAGAAACATGTTCTTGGATATTACATCACAGCGAAATATCGAAATTGAATATATACAGGATATAGTGACATATCTGAGGAGTCATAGCCAGCTTTATGATATTTTACCTGAATATTTAAAATTCATAAAGTTGTTGCTGGTAATACCAGTCTCATCATGTACGGCCGAAAGATCTTTCTCATCATTGAGAAGATTTAAATCATTTTTAAGATCAACAATGAGCCAGAAGAGATTAAATAATGTAATGATACTGAATGTTCATGGCGACATGGTGGAAAATCTCGATTTGGAACAACTCTGCAATGAGTTCATCAAACGGTCCTCTGTTAGGATGAATTCTTTCTCCTTGTTCGATTCTAGAGAAAAATGAAATATAATATTTTACAGCCGTTGTCTGTTGTCTTATCATGTTCTATTGACTAATGGCAGTTTTATATCTATTAATTTTTTTTATTAGTGTAATGTTGATCATGTTGTGTTTATGTTTTTCGTAGATATAGGATATAGGTATGTTTATCTATCTTCATATTTTTCATTCAATAAATGTTAATAAATTAGTAGAATATGTTTATTTTCCTAAAAATTTGGCTACCCAGCCCACCCTACCTTTTTCAGCACAAAGACAAAAACTTTGACAATCGAAGGTGAGATGCACCGGACGGAATTTCTAAAAGTCGGCGCCACTGGTCATTAGCAGAAACCCTCCAGAAAACGCGATAATATGCATAGGTGACAATCATATAAATCGCGTGAAAACTTTTAATACCTTGGCACCACAATCAATGACCAATGGGATCCAAAACACTAGATAAAAACCCGAATACAAATGGCACGACAAGCTTTTGTGAAATTCAGACCACTCCTATGTAATCTAAACTTCGAAATACGCTACAGAATGGTCAAGTGCTACATATGGTCCATCTTGCTTTATGGCATGGAAACGAGGACTTTGAAAAAAACATATATCAACAAACTTGAAGCATTTGAAATGTGGTCATTGAGAAGAATGATGCGCATACCTTGTGTGGATAGTTAATCCTACAAGGGAAGATCGAAGGTAGGAGAGAAGCCGGCCGCAAACAATTATCCTGGTTAAGGAATATTAAAGAATAGACAGGAATACACAATACAGGTGAACTGTGTCACGCCGCCAAGAACAGAATTCTAGTAATGAGATAGTCGCCTACGCACTTTGGTGTATGGCATGTTAAGAAAAGGAAGAATAATTGTGAAACTTTGGCTTAAATGAAAAATTTAATGAGGTTTTTGTTGACCTACAAATTTATTAAAAATCTCAATTTAGTAAAATATTCCAAATAGGTTTCATTGTTTTATAAAGAATATAACAGCCTATTTTTAAATTTTGCAAGTACTTTGGCAAATGTTGTTCTGATATTCCCCAAGCGACGCAGGTTGAGTTGTATAAACAACTGACTTGAGGTAACCTCATAGAAAAAAAAAACAGTTGCCGGTTAAGTCTGTTGACCTTGGTGGCCACTCAATAGGACCTCTCCTTTCAATTCATTTGTTCGGATAATTGGTATCCAACCAGTGCATAACTCAAACTGCACTGTGACGAGGTGCTCCATCTTGTTGGAAGTGCAGAAGATCTTCGTTTATGGTTTGTTTTTAAACCAGGAGGAGTAATTAAAATTTATCGCGCCGTAATTCTTATTTGTAATTGGTCCAACTGCAAGCAAGTTTACTACACTAAATTATGACATTTTCACACTAACGACGTTTATGAAATTTTAAAATTCAAAATTTATATCGACGATTTATGTATTTTCTGCATATTTCTTTTAATTTTTCGTCTTTATTAATATAAAAAACAGTTCTTTTCAGAACTATTTAGCGACGAATTAGTGTTATTATAATAACAATATGGATTTAATGCCACGTATTAGTGGCAATTATTGTTCTCTACCTAAAAAACGCCAAGTAGATTTGGGCCATTTGTCATAAAATGAAAAACAATGCATTATAAACATCTACAAACAAATAAAAAATTGAAAATCCTAGAATGAAAATAACAGTCATGGTAGCAATAATAAAACAGGCAACAGGTTAGTTTTGCAGAATAGATATTGTTAAAATCAAGGCTTACTAAAGTAATGTGCCAATTTTAGGTGTTGCGAACTAAATATAGTTTAAACTCTTTATAAATTTATAAACGTAGGTATGTATATAATTAAATTATAAACCAATTATCATAAGAAAAATGGCAACTATCTGTTAAACTTAATGTATACTTGTTGGGAAGTATTTTCATTTTGTTTTCTTCATAATAAAATAACTTATAGGTAAATTAATGTTGTGTTTTAGTTACTCGCGTCATTGTCATAGCCTGTAGAGTTTGCTTTCGGTATTCGTACTTTTATGCTGTACTAATACAGCAGGTTCTGATCTTCCTGGTTGCAGATCATCACAAACTGCAAAATTGCAAAAAATTATGCTAGACTGTAACATAATAGATTGAATTTGTTGATTATCTCATAGAAATCCAGTATTTTGTAGTAAATTTTATTTATTAATAGCAAATAGGACAAACTCACTGTCAAAATGTAACAAGAATCCAGCATTAAAGAAATTGCGAGTACAAACTTATTTATACTAAGTATCATTTTGCATTTTAGTCATTCAAATAGAACCTAAAAATATTGATACATAAGTTAAGCAAATCTATCTAATGAGATAACTGATAAGTTAAACCATACCTTTATTTGAATCATAATTATGTGATGGGAAACATGAAAAAGTGAATACTAAAGCAGTGAGCGGGAAGGAATATGTAAAACAAATTGGCTAAAGTAATTTAGAAAATTGGATTATTAAGCTTAAAAATAATGATTAAGTCAAAATTAACTCTTCTGGTGAGAAAAAAATCTAGATTCAAGAAATTAGTCACACATTGAGCAATAAGCAGGTAAGTTTTTATAAATTAAATATTGGTAGTGCATGTGAATTGAAAAAAATTATTTAAATATAAACAAATAAAGTTAGGTTAGAATCGACGTGTGAGGTTGTCCGATACTGATTACTGGATTACAATAAGGCCGAGATAATCAACCAAAACAGAAGATGTATTGGTCACTTTTCTAGTAACATTCTCTGGTCTTAATCTGTCTTTTTAGTTTACTCGTCCTGGCTTAAAAACAAACCATAGAGCTAGGTTGCCTTTATCGTTCTTTTGATTCTCTAATTTATGCATAATTAAAGGTTTGATGGTATTTTACAGCATATCGAGATAAATGTCGCCTCTTAAATTGACTGGTATAAAACAAGGGGCCAATTATAGCATCGCCTAATAGTCCTGCTCAAACATTCAGTTTTTCTCTGAATCGATGCGGGTTCGCACCACTTCAGTACCGACAGTGTTGTTTATTTACATTACCATTCAGCATAATAGTACATTAATCAGTGAAACAATAATTTTTTAATAACATTCTCGCTTCAATGCGAATTCTTATAGTCATGAGTTCACAAAACTAAATTCGTCGGTTCTGATCATCATCGTCTAGTACTTATAGAATTTTTATAGCCGCCTTATGTAAAAGTTCTTGCAGATACTTGACGTGTTGATGCAGTAGGCTCTATTGCAAAATTTCAAGGACCTCAATTTGGGATGTTTCATTCAGTAATCTTGGAGCATCCTTTTTTTTATTTTGCACTGATCCCGTTTCTCTAAACTTTTCAACTAAATCGCGAACGTATACGTGACTTACATTTTTGTCTGAATTCCTTTCATGAAATATTTGACAATATATGGTTCGAATTTAAAAAAGAAAATTGCACTGGATATTGTTTACATGGTGATATCATTTAACAACGCATGGTGATTGTATCGAAAATCAAACAACTCTAAGATGTATCAAATAGACTTTCGAAGGGGTAGTAAGGTTTGCACTAATCCCATTTCTCTAAACTTTTCACCTAAATCGCGAACGTATACGTGACTTACATTTTTGTCTGAATTCCTTTCATGAAATATTTGAGCTGTTCGTAAATAACACTGGTTCTGGGAGAAAAATATGAAAATAATTTTCACGCTTTTCAGACAACTACAAACAGCTGAATGACAGTACCGATCGTACAAAAATAAAAACTAGTGAGATTTAAAATTCTCAAATAAACTTAAAATTATTGAATCTGACAGAACCCAAAAAGCAAATGTTTTTAACTTGTTTTGCAAAAATGGCAAATTAACTTTTTATTTAACAAAAAAAAATCCGAGAGACACTTATTAAATAATAGTATAGAAGATATTATTACAAATACAAAAGTCATAGTAGGCCGACTAATATTAACAACCTGTATAATTATTAAACAATAATTATACAGAGTAATCAAGAGAATCAACAAAAACTCATTAAATTTTCCATTTAAACCAAAGTTTTACAATTATTGGTTTACCCTATATAATTATTATTTATACCATTGGATAGCATTTTTTATAGACTTTTTAATGATGTATCACAAGTAGGGGTTTGTAATTTAAACTTTTTTGGTTGTAGTAGGTGAGGCCTAGTGGGTTGATGAAGGTGAGTTCTCTTTCATGTCATTTTAGTTCCCCCTTACTATCCTAGAAACGGTTTCAAGCATTTTTCGATATCAGCTTTTGTTCGTGAGATATAGCCAATTGTAAGTTTTAAAATCGGCACACTGTATCATCATCAATTAGCCTATATTTTTCCACTACTGAACGTAGGCCTCGCGTAAAATTTTCCACCCATTTCTATTTTGAGCTTCTTGCATCCAGTTGGTGGTGATGCGCTTGATATTATCCATCCATCTAGCCGGTGGTCGTCCTCTGCTTCGATATGCATCTTGCCTTGGTCGCCATTCCAGAATCTTTCTGGTCCAGCTATCATCCGTTAATCTGGCAACATATCTGACCTAAACCCATTTAGCCATGGCAATTTTTTCAACTGCACCTGTGACTCCTGTTCTCCTTCTTTATTTCTAGTTTTGGTACTATATCTCTGATAGTAATACCTAATATTGATCTTTTCATAGCGCGTTGTGTAAATTTTATTTTATCTATTGTTCTTTTTGTCAAAGTCAGTGTTTCTGCACCATATGTAAGAACCGGTAAAACGCACTGATTAAAAACCTTTCTCTTTGGACAAACGGGGATACTAGACCTGAAAATGTTATTCAATCTACCAAAGGAAGCCCATGTGAGACCTATCCTTCTTTGTATTTCAATTGTCTGATTATCTCGGCCTAAGCGAATCTCATGCCCTAGATATTTGTAAGCTATTACTTGGTCGATGCTATGGCTCTCAATCAGAATTTTACCGCTGACTACAAGGTTGGTCATAAATTTTGTCTTTGAGGTGTAAATTTTAAGACCAATTGTTTTTGACACTTTATAGAGCGTGTGTAGCATTTTTGTAGCTTTATTAACTCTATCAGATATTAAAACGATGTCATCGGCAAATCTTAGATGGTTCAGATCTTCACCATTTATAATATTTCCCATATTATGCTCTCGTTCCATCTGCTAAAACATATATTCCAGAACAGCTGTAAACAATTTAGGGAAGATAGTATCACCTTGTCTAATTCCACGTTCTATTCGAAACTTCTTAGTTTCTTCATGAAGGCGGACACAAGCTGTACGAGTTTTGTAAATACTTTTAATTAAGACGATATATCGGTAGTCAATGCGGCAGTCAGTTAATGCTCGAAGAATTTTATGATGATCTATAGTATCGAACGTCTTTTCATAATCTACGAATAGAAGAAAGATAGGCTTGTTATACTCTGTACACTTTTCTATTAGCGTTTTTATAACTTGTAGATGATCATTTGTTCCGTATCTGTCACGGAACCCAGCCTGTTCACAAGGTTGGTAACTATCCAGTTTGTTCATAAGCCGTTTTGTTATTATCTTTATAAATAGTTTGTATGTATGGAAGAGCAAACTAATCGATCAGTTGTTTTTTAGGTCAGAAATGTCACCTTTGTTGTGCATTATGGTTATTATTCCATTATACCACTGGGAGGAGGTTACGATTCTGGTCAAATAAGCATTGAACATCTTTTTTAACACATTTATAGTTTATTTTTATGAACGAGAGAGTAATTAGCATAATTTTAACTGGTATCTCCGACCACTCCATGCGCGTGCTCAAGATTAAATGAAAAATTACTTTGAATAATTGTAAAAAATAAATGAATTATTTCAGTGTTATAAAGTGTTATGTGTATGTAAACAAAAGTGACCTCTTTTATCACACACTATATTAGAACTGACTGGCCTACATTAAAAAGGGTTTTAAAAAATTCACTTTTTTTTTAATTTTTAAAAATTACAAAAGCGAAAAAGAGTTTTTAAAACCGTCTAAGGTATGTTAAATAGATGAATAAAAATATTAATATAAAACTTACAGCTACTTGTTACTAATCCAAATCAGATTCAGAAGATGAACTTTCAGAACCAAGATTTATAATAACTGGCTCGATCATTTTATCAGTAATATTGTCCAGCTTCCACATTTTTTCCTCTTCTTTTTAATAGTGTGATTTACTGCCTTTTCCCAGTTTTCAGGTTTTACATTATTTACGGCCTCCAAAAACACCTGTTTAACATCATGAATTTTAAAAGTGGTATTTTTTCTTGAAACTTCACTCTTTATCTGTGCCCATACCAGTTCAATCGGGTTTAATTCACAATGATATGGTGGGGATCTAAGTACTGTCATTCCACGATTTTTGGCAATTTCATCAATTTCGTTTTCTTTAAGTTTTTCTTTATGAAGGGCACACAACGAATAAAGTTCCTTTCTTATAGATCCGGGATGGTACGTAATATTTTTTGAACTCAGCCAATTCTGCAAGTATTTTTTTAACCACTTGGTTGTGGGCAGTCCTTCTATAAGTCTGGAGTGATAACTTGCATTATCCATTACTATTACATAGTTCTTAGGAAGAAGATCTATCATTTGTTCGAACCATTCTTGAAAGACATCAGCGTTCATGTCTTCATGGTAGTCACCGGTACGAGTTGATTCAAAAGTTAATAAACCACCTTCAACAAAACCGTCTGAACTGCCAATGTGTACTATTATCAGCCTGCGTCCCTTTCCTAATGGTGGGTTTAAACCAGTAGATAAGTTATTTACAAAAGCGTGCCTTTGACTTGTAACAGTTTCATCCTGCCAAAATTTATTTGGTGTATGACCCTCGTTGATCCATGTTTCATCAAGATAAAATATTTTTCTTTTTTGGTTTCTCATTTCCTTTATGGTTCTTAAAAAATGTCTTCTCCATATGACAATATCGCTTCTTTCTAATAAAATAGACTTTCTGGGATTCTTTTTCCAGCGGAAGCCTATTTCTTTTAAAAGTTTCCATAACGTACTTCGACTCATTTCTGGGTAATCCTTATCATCTCGAACTGAGACAAGAACTTTATCCAATGTTGGAAATTGTTGTTTAAAGAAGAATTCATGCACTTTCCGTCGAAGTCCTTCTTTAAAATGATATTCTATTTGAAATTTTGGTTTCCCTGGAGCATTACGTGGCATTTGAAAACTACCACATTTCTCTTCTTAAATAACTCTGTAAATCGTAGATTTCCCAACACCAAGTGTACTGCTAACTAACTCAACGGTCTCATCAACACTTTCACATAAACGTTTGTCTGTAAATGATTTAAAACAATTAAATATTAATGTTTTTTCATTAACTGTTAAAGGACAAATTTTTCGGCGTTTACACGGCACTTCCAAATTTTCCATAACACTAGTATACACAATAAACTGCACCTTGCAACTGAAGTACCTACTTTTAGTGAACTGTTAAGAATTTTTAATACGCCACTTGGACCTTCTTACAAAATGGAAAAACCCACTATCACATTTTCTGTGGAATAAATTTAGTAGGTAACTATCTAGTCAATTACTGTCGTAGATTCCTGGAATTAAAGAATTAAATGTCTGATTGTTGATACCCTTACTTCGTGGAATGCACTCATTTCAGATAAAATAAAACGTTTTATTTTATCTAAAGAATTAAACTTTATTTTGCAAATAGGTAGGTACTTATTAAACTTTTATTGGTTATATATAACCAATAAAATAAACGTCTTATATTTCTTGCAAATTCATTAGTACCTGCTAACCTCCATCACTCCGACACTGGAAACCTTATTTAGGGATTAGTAACCCTCACAACTATTGTATTCTATTCTGCTCCAACCTTTATACCTGGTGGTCATACTCAATATAAAATTGTTTTCCTATATACTTCTGTAAACTTGTTGACAAATATCTGTTTTTCATTGAGTCACCCGTATCAACAGTTTAGGGATTTGCATACATAATTTATTGTTTTATTACTCTCTCATGCATAAAAATACACTATAATAACGTCACTCCTCCTACTTTGATTTGGTCAATGACTATCCCATCTTCTCCAGGTGAATTATTGTTGTTCATCTCCGAGAGACCTGATTTTATTTCCTCTGTTGTGATATCTGGGATGTCTTCTGAGCCTACATTTTGAACTTTTGGTATTTGATTGTGATCAGGATCTGGAAGTTCTTCTCGCTTATACAATTCTGAGTAAAAATCTTGGGCAATTTTTTAAATATCGTCCTTAGTTTTTGTGATTTCTCCTTTTTAATTTACAAGTTTACAAATATTTTTCGATTCTTCAGTCATTTGTTGGCGCAGAACCTTTAAACTTTTATTTTTATCAATGGCTTAAATTATGCATTCAGTGTTGTAATTTTTGACATCTTTTCGAATGGATTTTGTGATATTTTTGTTTAACTATCTAAGTGTTACAAAATTATCTGTGTATTTGTCTAATTCTCTTCTTTTGTTTATAAGATCTTTAGTAGCTTGAGTGAGTTTATCCATCTTGTTTTTCCTTTTTCCGAATCGCACTATTTATTCGCATGTTTGTCACCTCTATATCTAATGCATTTTCATTTAGATGTTCTACTTCTACTTCTACTGTAATAGTACTGTTACACTGTATGAAACAAGTCATATACTGACTGATTTATAAATCTGATTGAGCAAATTCATTTATTTGTATGTTTTTTAATAAAACTTCTCCAAAAAAATTAGCATTACATTAAAAACTGCAAAAAAAATTCTGAGCACTAATGGGTTAATATATTTATTTTTTTTAAGTATTATATTACAATTTGTTTATATTTTATACCTGTATCATTTCTTATACAACTGAAGATAACAAATATTTAACACATGTTTATTATTTTTTTATCTTATTAAACAATACCGTTTAGTAACTACAATCTTTTTTTGCAGGAAGAAAATAAAAATTGTTATTTAAAATTTATCTAAAAATTATTTCCTGTTAAATAATGTAAATTGTAATCAACAATATTCAATAATGTATATTCATGGTCGCCTCCTTTTTGTGGTTCGTTTTTGACAAAATTTAGTTTTATTAACTAGTTTCATACCTGTAGAGAAATTTCAAGATATGTGTAGTTTATTATATTGTTTTAGTTATTTGTTGTGGATTGTGGATTAAAACGTAAGCATTCTTTTTTTTGTTTAGTATAAATAAGGTAAAATAGGACAACGGTCGTTTTACATTACGTCATATCCCAGCAAGAAGTATTTAACGAATATTATGGAGGTATTTAAAGTTTAAGATAAAGTATTTACTATAAATCAGATTTTTTAAAATTTGAAGCGTAAACCGGTTCAAGGTGTATTTAGTGCTTTTAGATTTATTAATCTGAAGTTACTAGTACTTTGATCATACTCTGCTATGTATTTTGTGCAATAGTATCAGTTAGTAATTTTTTGCATAATTAACAATAATGAGTTTTTGATATTCGTTACATATTCTTATATTCATTACATAATACATCGTAATAAGTTAGAATAAAATGATATATTACACAGTTCCTCTTCTTCGTCATCCTCAACGGCTACTTTATCTGATATATTATTGGCTGTTTGTAGAGACGAATATCATCCATGCAGTTCCTCTGGTATAATTTTTTTTGCATAACTTCATTAAGTACATCTTTTCTGGTTACTAATAGGTAGACGTTGATTGTAAGCTCTTTTAATTTCATTCATACAATTTGTCCGACCTCTTCCGGGTACGTTCAGTACAATGTAGGGGTATGTGTAACTGTAGTAAAATTTTATTATTTCTAGATAAAATACCCAGTTTATTATCGTTTTACTGACTGTGTTACCATTCTCATCTTTCAGAAAGTTTTTAATAGTGTGTTTTGAGAGATATTTAAGATCCAACATATCAGAAAAATGCAGCTATTTGACATGGTGGGGATTACTGGAGTTTTATGTTAATCCACTTCAGTTGTTAAACAGATTTAACAGACGCATGCCTTCTTTCCCTTTCATGGCACTATTCATGCTGTCAACTTTTATGAAAGAATGTCCGAAATTTAGGTATTTCTGCTCAATGATTTTAATATGAGTAGTTTAAGTCAAATAGAGCAGAAGCGCAGAGATGTGGTGATTGCGCTTTTGACACCCACAAGTGTCTAAAG